AAATTCTTACCAACCTTACTTCATAATTGTAGTATATATTTCAAAAAATAAATAAAAAATGTATTTTAGGTTTTGTAAAATGAGAAATAGTGCAGCTGATATCCCTTAAATCTAACTACTGCTTAAAATAAAAGGCATCCTCGTAATACTGATGTTTCACTTCTGTCACTTCAGTGTGTAGTTCAAAGGACTCAAACAAAGAAGCCTTTCTTAAAAAGACTGAGGGTGGGCGATTTGACTTTTTTGTGTGCTTTTTATCTACCAGTTGTTGGAAAAGTTAAACTGCTAAGAATTTTTTATTAAAGATTAATTTGAAACAATGTTAAAACTCCACTGAACTTCATTAAGTCAAACAAGATTCCTTTATTTGTTGCATACAAATCAAACACAAAGCTGGAATGACCTTTCGTTTCAGTTCAACAAGAGAGTACAAGACAGCAACACATCTCTCAAACCTTTTTAAGTTTTGTATATAATTTTCCCAATGTCTTTGAAGGCAAATAAAATGTACATGGCAAACGGATTATATACAAAGAAGAAAAAATGGAAATATACAGTAATGACATGATAAAAGAATGTTATGATAAAAAAAAAATTTAAGTATATTTCTATACTAAGGGTCCACCATAACTAACATGCCAACCCCTGTATCAAATCAAACATCAACATAATTCCAATCCACCAGTTCCCCAATACAGCTGTTATAAAACATTTTGTTACAAGTTGAATGACCTGAGACAGTCTAGGTTCAGTGATTACTAATTATAAACAGTACAGATCGTCATATTCTGTTTCTTTAAGTGATAAGCAAACGACAGCTTTTAGTTAAAATACATTTACCCTGAAAAGTGGTATAGAGTGGAATGGCTGTAACAACCACTGTCACCAACACCTGCATTCGCTCACTATGGTAATAAAACAGCTGATGGGTGACAGACAATTTCTGGAGGAGGAAAAAAAAAACGCAGGCTCTTTTTGCATCTAGACAAAATGCAAAGACAGAGTTGAGCCTCACCATGCTGATACCTGAGGTGAGAAAGTGGCTCACAGTGGTCTTTACTGCCATTTCTGTCATTCAAACCTTTATGAGACTAAATACGTCACTTACTATGTGAAATGGTGAATGAGCTTTTTGAGTTTAAAAACCAAGAGCAAGCATAGAGGGGGTTTCATTGTTGATTATGGGCAGGAGAGACTGTTTTAAGGGCTTTCTAAGAGGGGGTCGTGGGTGATGGAGCAGGGTAGGGAATGAGGATGAGGAAGCTCTGAAACAACAGAGGAAGGCTCGCTCTTAATGGCAGCAGCCTCCACAGTGGCCGCCCCCATGCGCATGTCCCGAGGCCTCGCCGTACTTTGTTCTCCGGCTCAGAATCTCATAGGAGCAGTCTTCTCCACAGCAACCGGACATACTGGGTGACGTTTCGTCAATCTCAAACCTGAAAGAGGACGGCCATTGGTGAAGTCATACTTTAACACCGAATAAGCATAGCAGACACGTGTTGCTATGGCAACTGCTATCATTCAGTGTTTTGTCGATTATAGAGGCCTGTACATAAATCTGTATTCAGAGGAGGAACAGGAATTTCATACAAGTGTTGAATGTGTACGAGTCCAGAACGATGGGACTTACTGTAAAGCATCCCTAAAGAACTGGTAAGCACCATGATTGTGTTTAAATACTGTCAGCATGACCTTTTTCATTTGTGTGCTGAGGAAAGACACAAGAAGAAGAGAGAGAGAGAGAGAGAGA